GTCACTCTCACTCAGAGTGCTCCCTCAGAGTGTTCCCTAAACCCCCATCTGTTTCCTGCTCACTCTCACTCAGAGTGCTCCCTAAACCCCCATCTGTTTCCTGCTCACTCCCACTCAGAGTGCTCCCTAAACCCCCATCTGTTTCCTGGTCACTCTCACTCAGAGTGCTCCCTCAGAGTGTTCCCTAAACCCCCATCTGTTTCCTGCTCACTCTCACTCAGAGTGGTCGCTAAACCCCCATCTGTTTCCTGGTCACTCTCACTCAGAGTGCTTCCTAAACCCCCATCTGTTTCCTGGTTACTATCACTCAGTGTGCTCGCTAAACCCCCATCTGTTTCCTGGTTACTCTCACTCAGTGTGCTCGCTAAACCCCCATCTGTTTCCTGGTTACTCTCACTCAGTGTGCTCGCTAAACCTCATCTGTTTCCTGGTCACTCTCATTTACTATTCTCCCTACAGTCTCTTCCTCATTCAGTAATTTCATCTGTGCATTCTCTTTACCACCTTCTGTTTCACCCTCGTTGTTCTCTCTCAAAATTAATTCAATTATAAATTATCTTTCACACTGCTTATTCAAGGTAGTAGTTGTAAATGTTTAGCATTAACAATTAAAACCGATCCTTTTCCAGAAAACATCTACGCTCAGTTTACTAAAGTTCGATGGCACTGTTTAAGTAGCTGGAGGTGTTTGATTTAACACTCGTAATCCTCTGCAGAACTAGTCATTGCATAAAAATACAACAAAACCGGTTTGCAACAGGAGCTCCCACTTTCTTAGGTGTGTCTGTGTGGCGACGATTCAATATTACTCCTGTTACCAATGGTTTTCCGAATGTGTAAAATGATGAGCTTCATGCTCCTCAGACAGCCCCTGCTGGTGTAAGAATGAAATAACACTTGCTGTTCCATTTGGGCCCATTTTTAAACTAGAAGCCATAATAACTAGAATCATACATTAGATAAATTCAAAACGAAGACAATTGTCCCCCCCGATCGTCCGCTCCTTCCGTGTGCCACGCCCCCTTATCTACCTCGTGTTGAATCCCCGCGTTTACCAGCTGTTTCTTGTTGCTGTCATTAGTCCTATGTATTTAAGTCCGCGTTTAAGTATGCTTCCCCAGTCCGGTCATTGTGTTGTCATTCTGAGTTCGTTGCCTGTTCCTTGTCACTACAGATTGATTAGACCCCGTGTTCTCCGATTCCCTGATGTCTGCGACTCTGTCTCAGTTACGTGCCCCGCTTACGGTGTGACAACAATGATATCAATTCCTGCGCGATGTCAGAGAATGTCTTGCCGTTGATCATTGCCGAGAATAATGTGTTTCCAAGTATTGTTTAATATATCGTTTTACCGCATCAAATAAAATAGTGGTAATAGTAGTACTTTATTGATCCCTAAGGAAATTATAAAAGAACGACAGCAGCACACACAAAACTTAAAACTGTACATATACAATAGAAAATATTATACAAAATACTATACAATACTGAAGTACATTGTGCATTGTGCAAAACAAATTGAATAATTTTAAATGTAATTTTTTTAAATTCCAAAATTAAAAAAAACACACAAATACAATTAAAATACAATTACAGTCTAAAGGGCTAAATAAAGCAAGATAATTTACCAATGACATGTCTAACGTATCTCTGTAATCATTTTTAAGACTGCAGTTTTCATTACTGGAAGATGAGCAGCAAGCGCCCGAAAAACCTAGAAGGAAGCACTTCTGCAGTTATGGAAAATGACAGACAGCCCCCTACCCGCCACGGGAGAAAGTAACGCAGGCTGAGCGTGTGCATGTGCATCTGAGAGGATTCTGCTGTAGCGCGTCCCTCCGTCCCCCTGCCAAGCGACTTCCAGCGCCAGAAGACAGAAAGCAGAAGGCAGCCCGGAGCGCCCGCTCATTGTACATATGAAATCGTTGCTGGCGATTTTTCCCGAAAGCTGCTTCTAACGCCCAAGCTAAAACTCCTCAGTGTACGCAGCAATGTGCAGTAATCTAAACCTGAATGTCTGAGATGCCAGAAGAGAGGATCCATCTCAATGGTTTCGCGCAGCTGAAATTCTGTATATTGTCAATATTGCAATTTATGCATCATCAGGGTTGCCAAATCTCACACACCTGGCATGACGCTCACGTTTTCAGACTCTCACGCAAGAAATTGGCAAATCTATTTTATTCTATTATAAACATCAAATTGGCTACATCAAAAGCGTTTAGATACTTTGCAAACCCTACATACTATTTACATGGTAATTAAACTGTTACATAGGCTACATGTAAATGCATGTGCAGACTTGAATTGAAAATCTCAAATTGAAAATCTCACGCCAGCCAGTTGACCAAAGTTGGCAACCCTGCAACATGTGTCATTCGTGTTGCGAATTGACTGTGTTTTCATATAAGATATGAATGTACACCGGTGTTACTACATGTTAAGAAATTAATATTCGTCGAACTTTATCCGCCAGTCTATTTTATAACCGCTTAGCCTGGTTGGTGTCGCGGGGGAGCAGGGAGTCGATCTCAGGGGGAAAGACTGCGCTTCTTGTGTTTGTGTCCAACAGGGGCCCCCCGGACCTTGGGGGGCCCACGCAAATGCATGGTTTGAGTGGTGATTGACACCCTGGACGAGATCGGTTGTGGAAATAGTAAATTAATATGTGTAAGTAGGTGAACCTTTATTTATTTAGAAATGTTGCTAGTAAAAAAGTGTTTGACATCGATTCTGTAAAATTCAAAATATGGTCTTCTTTGTGTCCTCTGTCTATTCCCTCTTGCTTTATTGTCGGCGACCCCTCTGTTTTCGATTCCATCACACTATAATAACACTTCGCGGCTAATAAATTTGTCCCTGGTTGATTTCCGTAGTTTTTCTTCTGTCGTCACCGCTGCTTAAGGGCCGAATCTGCGGCCGTATAAACTGCCGTTTAATTTTAACGGCACGGAGAAGCAGCGACCCTAATAATGTCCTCGAACAGCGATATCAGGATCCCCGCTCGGCTGCCGTTACTCCTAACCTACGAAGGAGTACTGCTACCGGGCTCCACGATGCGGATCAGCGTCGACACGGCGAGAAATATGCAGCTGGTAAAAAGCAGGCTTCTGAAGGGGACGTCACTAAAAAGCACCATTATCGGGGTTATCCCGAACACCAGGGACCCGGAGCACGATACCGAGGACCTGCCGACCCTGCATGGGTGGGTGACACTATCCTGGCAATTAGGCAACTGCGCCGATAACGTGACATTTCAGTTTTTGGTGTCATCCTGTAGAGGAAGTGTCCCATTGGTATAATTGACTTTATTGTTATTATTATTTTATTATTACTACTACTATTATTATTATTTTGTTATTGTATTTTGGGGTAACATGAACTTTGTACTTAAAGTTTATCGGCAAACAAAAAATCCAGCTTGAAAGTATACGAAGTTGCATCTCGGTGCGCGTTTGTTGACCTGATGAAACCTTGACAAAGACCCAGACTTGTACAAATAAAAACACGTTTTATGCACACATGAAAGAAATGTGAAGCGCATCCGTGCTTTGGAGAACTTTCTGGAAAAGTCGATGAATCCAGGCGGACTTTAGCCCTGGTCGGTGTTCTGTCGAGTTGAGCTACTTTGTCGAGGCTACCGTAGTGCTAATCGATAGCCCTAGCCCTAACCCTAACTCTTACCTTAACCCCTAAAACCCTTACTCTAACCCTAACCCCTAAAACCTAACCCTAATCCCAAAACGGTGGAACTGCACATGCGCAGAAAGGCCCGATAGCACGTCTCGATAGGTAGCTCAACTCGTCAGAACACCTGTCCTGCGAAATCGCGAGTTTCATAATCGTACTTCCCCTGTTTTCCTTCCATGTTGCCTTTGAATTGCTTAAGCTATGCTTTCGTTAAATGTAGCATTCGGCAAATTCCCTGAACAGATGAATCCCAAACCTTATACTTATAAATAAAGACTAAATAAGCCGTACGGGTTCCGATACGCAATGGTGGGGTGGGGTAGTATTTCCAGGTGACGGAGCATGTGTTAGGATCGCTTCCTAAACCTGCCCCATGTTCCCCTTCAGCACTGGCACGGCGGGGCTGGCTGTGCAGGTGGTGGGCAGTAACTGGCCGAAACCCCACTACACGCTGCTGATCACGGGCTTGTGTCGCTTCCGCGTCATCCAGCTGCTGCGCGAGCGGCCCTTCCCGATGGGGGAGGTCCAGCAGCTGGACAAGCTGGAGCAGTACGCTGCCTCTGACGCGGCCGACTGCCACGGGGAGCTGGGAGAGCTGTCAAAGAGGTTCTATCAAGCGGCTGTGCAGGTTTGTCTGTCTCTGGAAATGGGACCTGTCTGTGTGTATAGGTGTACCCAATCAAGGTTCTACCTTGGGCGTTTGCTCTTTCGTGTCTTTCTGGCCAATGTTTTCAAAATGCCTCTTAGGCGATCAGATCACAAACAGACAGCTGAGACACATCACCATTTGCACCTCTGTCTATCATGCATATTCAGAGTGTTCAGCTTACCACTTGTGTTCAGATTCCATTACTGCCTCGCACACCGTTATTGTGGCATCATTTTCGGGGATGCATCTGCACGCATTGGTGCTCACACTACAGAAGAAATGTTGTCAGGGGCACCGTCGGGGGGGTGTAGTTAGGATGATTCCAGGGGCCCCTGAGTAACAGGAGAGAAGAGAGACAGGGGCCCAAAGAAATTTGGAAAATAGCTGGATTGGTCTGGACTGGGGGGCCCAATATGATATCCTTTCATGGGGCCATGGGGCCAAAAATCTCTAGCGACGCCCCTGCGTCCCAGACCACTTTGGCAAGTGGTGAGAGTGATCAGATCACAGTGCTCATTTACACTTTTATGTAGCCTTGTCCACTTATGACCTGATTACCCAAGACGCATTTTAAAGCCAAGCGTAAACAGTGCCTCTGTATAATGGTGGTTTTATCAGTTGTGTGTAAACAGTGCCCCTCTTCCATCCAAGTGCTGTGCGAGCAGTAGTGTCCAAATCAGTGGCATTCAAACTTTATTTTGTCTCCTTCCTCCACACACGCACTCACAGTGACCCCAAATGAACTTTAATTATGAAATAAATTAAAAACAAATGTAATTTTGTTAGTATCGTTTAATGTGTGCAGGCATATAATGTGTTTACATTATTTTTAATGTTTCTAAAGGTTGCAGTTTTTGAATAGGTCTGTCTCAACCCCCCCCAGCACACTTCTGTTTTTTACCCTCGCAATTCCTTTTCAGCCCACTGGGGGGGGGGCATGCCCCACAGTTTGATCACCTCTGGTTTCACTTCATTGTTGAGATGCCACATTTATGCTCTCATCCCCTGCATTCTCATCCCATATCTTCCCCTCTGCTTGCGTTCCTCAGCTGGTGGGCATGCTTGATATATCCGTCCCTGTGGTTGCTAAGCTCCGCCGCCTACTGGACAGCCTTCCCAGAGAGACCTTACCTGATGTTTTGACCTCGATGATCCAGGCGTCCAACAAGGAGAAGCTGGAGGTACGGCGGCACCTGCACACACGCGTGTTACAGGCGTGCGGATCCTGTGTGCCTTCCGCAACGCGTGTGACATGTGCACTCAGGTGTTGGATGCTGTCAATCTGGAAGAGCGCTTCAAGAAGACTCTGCCTCTGCTGACCCGGCAGATCGAGGGTCTCAAGCTGCTGCAGAAGACCAGAAAGCCAAGACTGGATGATGACAAGAGGGTACCACATGGTCTTCGTCTGCCCTGCCGCCTCACCCCCCCAGCCTTCCTGAATGCATGACTCACACTCACACGAAATCTGCTCAGAATGATTTACTGGCACTTGGAAGAGATATGAAGGCAAGAATCTGGCATCATTAATGTATCGAAACAGACCAGTGCTGAGAAACAAAAATACACAGATTAATCACATTACGTGTCTTTGACAGAGGTGGAAACTTCAGGTCCAGAAAGTAAAAATCCAGACCAATGTTTTGTTTCAACCAACCAGTTGAGTATAGAGAGTCACAGTCACAGAGTACTCAAGTGGTTGGTTGAAACAAAATCTTGGTCTGGATTTTTACTTTCTGGACCTGAAATCTCCACCCCGGGTCTTTGCCTATTTTTACCTTCCTTTTCACTTTTGTTGGCAACACTTCCATCCTCTGCCTCTCTCTCTGCATGGTCTCCTCCACCCATTTATTGTTTCCATAGGTGGTGCCCGTTCGAAGGGGAGGGGTCTTCTCAGGCGGACAGTTCTCCATAGAGGACGACGGGGAGGAAGAGGACAGCGATGACGTGGCCTTGCTGGAGAAGCGGGTCAGAACCGGCAACATGCCGGAGACAGCGCTTCGTGTCTGCCTGAAGGAGCTAAAACGGTACCATCCAGTGTGACCTGTGCTCTCCCAGCATGTTTGCCACCTCAAACCAGTGCTGCTGGATTTGCTGAGGGATGTGGCATTCCCAGTGACCATGCACAGACTTCTAGAAATTCAAATTCTTGAACATATATGACCAGCAGGTGACATGGTGGTTAAGGGCTTGCACTGATTTTACCTTTGCAATTTTATGTCCCAGGAGTTACAGAATGCAAAGCTAGTTTCATTGTATATGTACAGTAACAATAACAATGTTCTCTTCTGTTCTGTTTGATTCTGTTCTATCCTATGAGCAGGTTGAAGAAGATGCCGCAATCCATGCCTGAATATGCCCTGACCCGTAATTATCTGGAGCTGATGGTGGAGCTGCCGTGGAGTAAATCGACCACAGGTGACTGACCTTGGAGTGGCTTAGCAGATACCTCATGCGTCATTCATCATCAGCACGGTGCTCTGCTGTTTGTACATGTGATAAAACGTCAGTCTGCCTCCACGCGGATTGCTGATAGTTTGATGATCTTTGCTGTGTAATATGAGGAATGGTGTAATGGATAACCATTTGTATTTGTAACGTGAGGTATAACCATAGGCATAGATTTGGGGGGGGGGGATGTCCCTCCTAATGTTAAGGTATGGGGGGAACTATCCCCCCCGATAATGTCATATATAATATAATTCTTCGTTTACAAAAACAAAGAAACGCACACGATAAATACCTCATCACATAATCTAAAGTCTTTTTTTTTCTGACAGTTTTCACCTGGAGAACCCCTACCCTCCGTTACAATGGTTTAGTCTCAACTGCTGCTCCGGGTGCATTTCCCAAAAGCAGGGTTGCTAACTACGCTAGCATCTTATATAGTTGGGAAACATGCCCCCTGCTGACAGATACTCACTCACAGACGTGTGAGCAAAGGTGTAGCAGACGAGCGGGAAAGCACAGCACTGAAGGCCTCGTATTATAACCAACAGTTAATAAATACATTTTTTTTAATTTATGTGAAATGGTGGAATTTAATTGTCCCATCCATTAATTTTCATAAAGATTCTGATGTGATTGTGCAAACTGCAGCTACCTTGGTTAGTTAACAGCACAAACAGCAAAGCTGATACTGCAGCCATATGTAGTGTTTGTGTCAGTCACAGTTCTCATCCCGTCGTGTTTGTTGTTAGGGCATAAGAATGAGTAAGAAGCCGGTCAAAAAATGGGGACAGACCTGGCATTTATTTGGAAAACGCCATAAAGTAAGTTAATCAGTTACCAGAAACTCTGAATCATTTAGTTGGCAAATATCCCCGGCAGAAAGTCATTTATTGCTAAGAAGAGATATAGTAAATCTCCTTTATTTACTTCTATGGGTCTCTAGCAGAAGATCTTGTAGTCGCTATGTTATGTGTATTGTGATTCTTTCCGGAAGGTTAGGATGTGTTTGTGAGAGAAGACGGGGGGCAGGAGAGTGACAGGGGCATCACAGTGGACCCTGAGGTGACGTCGTTTTTCCACAGTACAGGGCCTGACATTAGTGGCGGAATCTCGCGATTTGTGCATAATTTTAATAATTCCCGCAAATTCGGCATACATGATGCGGGGCATTATTGCACTTAAACAGCCATATAGTGAAGGTGAATAACAGTAAAAATGGAAAAATAAATTTCACTTGAAATATTTTAACTGTAACAGCAATAGTGTCTGAATAATAAAAAAAATACGTGCATGCAGCATGACCACAGAATCGCCGTATGTGATGACTCACGTCTGACCCCGATATACCTGCCCCCCCCCCCAATGTTAATATGAAACCTGGGTGAAACTGCATCAAAAAGTACAAGCGACAAGGCCTCGCTTTACAGATCCTGTGAAAAATGAATGCGCGCATTTTAGCGTTAGGTTAAGGTTTCAGCTTCAACACAGCCCTGTTTCACGTAAAAGTGAATGAAAGCTTCAGAGTCACATCAGGTTAAAATCCCCGCTTTGCACATTATGTGCAGTATGACGTAGATGGAGCTCTTAAGAAAATGAAAGATGATTCCGTTCACGTGTCATCAGCCTGGGATGTACCCAGTGCGCATTCAGTACAGCTTGACCCATCTGTGGTAGTGGATCCTGTATGTCCTATGTCTGTGTTTCAGCTGCATCATCCATAAAGTTGCTTCTGTGGATGCATAATTTACATCTTTTATAGTGTTGTTACTCTTCTAGTTTTGTTCACTTCTAGGTCTAGATTTTATATCATTTGGCCCTTCTACCACTAGAGGGAGACAATCACCATTTTCCCCCTTGTGTTTAGTTCTTACAATGCTTTGATCTTCCTTTTAATATGGCTGTGAATGTACATACTCATCGCTGAGAGGCAGGTCCTGTCTGCCTGTGTGCATGCGTATGCGCTCTCAGCTTTATCCCATGTCTGGATCATGCCCCTAAGAC